CCCTCGGATCATCTCCGTGGCCTCCTCTGGACTCGCTCCAACAGCTCCATGTCCTTCTTGTCCTGGGGACCCCCGAGCTGGACGCAGCACTGCAGGGGGGTCTCACCAGAGCGGAGCAGAGGGGCAGAATCCCCTCCCTCGACCTGCTGGTCACGCTGCTGGGGATGCAGCCCAGGACATGGCTGGCTTTCTGTGCTGCAAGTGCACTTTGCCAGGTCGTGTTGAGCTTCTCGTCCCTGAACACCCCCAAGTCCTTCTCCTCAGGGCTGCTCTCAATCCATTCTCCGCCCAGTCTGCAGTTGTGCAAACTTCCTGATGGTGCACTCGATCCCACTGTCAATGTCGCTGACGAAGATGTTGAACAGCGCCGGTCCCAGTATCGACCCCTGAGGAACACCACTGGTCACTGATCTCCACTTGGACATTGAGCCGTTGACCGCAACTCTTTTGAGTGTGACCGTCCAGCCAATTCCTTATCCACCAAGTGGTCCATCTGTCAAATCCATGTCTCTCCAATTTAGAGACAAGGATGTCGTACGGGACAGTGTCAAATGCTTTGCACAAGTCCAGTTAGAGATGGTTGTTGCCCCTGAGGCTAAGTCAGACAAAAAGTGAGACAAGAAAGAGATCCAAAAGCTTGGGAAGTAACACGTGTGGTTACAGACTACATCACTGCAGGGTCAAATCTGCAGAGTTCCAGTCAAATGCTGTTCTACCACTCCAGCTGCTCAAGGTGGAAAAGGAAGGCAGCAAGCCTTCACTACCAAACACCATACACGTATTTGCCCCTTTCTGGAGCTCCTTCCTTCCCAGGCTCTGGCTGATAATCACTAGCTTTTGCAATAAGAGTATTTCACAAGCTGGCCTTCAAATATTGTTTGGTTCTTGAGAAATTAGTACAAAAAAGCCCTGCACACGTCAAGACTCAGCAAAATGACCACCACCACCACTTCTTCAAAGCAGATTTACAACGTCTTAGATGATTAACAGCTTAGACGTTGCAACGAGCCAACTCCATCTTTCAGGATCACGTCATGTCATTGTTTTCTGGACCTTACTTAGTTCAGCAGTGAATAATCACAATGTTCATGTGACTTGGGACCTCTGCGTTGGCTGCCTGCGTTCCAGAAGTGGCACAAGGAGGCAATCTGCATATTTTAGCACATACTATTTTTAGAGCACTGTGAAACTTCTAGTTTTCATCAAAAAGCAAGTTTAAGGGGCTGTGGAGACACCTTCCCATTAACACAAAGGACACTCCCAATCATGAGGTGGATGGCAGCTAAACAGCCCCTCTCTATCCTCTCTGTGGCTCCATCATGCCCTGCTGGGAGATGGACCTTCTGCTAATACACGGGACTCAAATGCAACCACAAAGTAGTGTTTGTCATTTACAACAGGAACTGTTATTCTATGGGTAGTAAGATGCCAGGTTACTCGGATAAGGATAGCAGGTACCTGCATTCACTATGACAAGGATTGGGGCTGTGCACAGGGAAGAGACACCTGAAATCCAATATTTCCCATCCTAGTTCTCTTATTCCCACTTAGGATTCCCTACAGCATTGTATCCAAGTCTATTTTAGGTGGCTTTATTTGCTGACCTTCCTGCTCTGCTTGTCCTCCCCCTCACTCCAGACATGAAGCCATCTGTGGCATTGCAAGTCGAGATGGTGACACAGGGAAAGTGCATATTGTACCCGGCTGAGCGCCCTAAAAAAAAATCCTGCTGCTCTATTTGATATCACTGTAACTGGGCCTGTGACACAAAACTCCTCACATCCACAAAAAGCAAGTGGTACAGAGAATCAGGCATTTTACAAGGCCAAGATACGCAGCTTTCAGGCTGACTACATTTACCTCCAAAACCTGGCGACTATTTACAGCAGCAGGAGTCTGGTGATAAGCAGCAGATGGGAGTGGGGAGGACGGAAGTGTCCGTCCTTCTGTCATTCTCAACCACATTATCACCAGCTGCTTCCCCGCCTGTGCGAAATCTGTTGGCTGGAGCACAAGAGAGGACAAGCCAACAATGCCAGAATTACTCCCAAGAGTTCACATCACATGTGTGAACACCGAGCCACGCAGTTTGTCCCACCTACTGAAACACAGCCATGGAAAGAAGGAAAATGTGGAGGTAAGGATATGTCACCTCTTCAAAAATGAAGTTACTGAGAGCTCTGCTTGGACACCTGAGCGTGCGGATGCCTGCAGAGCTTTCCATGGCTTCGCTAATCACCCATGTCATTCATAGTGTGACTTGGTGATGCTCACTTGGGCTACTATCAGTGAGAGCATTTAGACTGACTCCTGAGAACAAGAAGAAATAAAAGAGAAGAAATGGCTTGGTGCAAGAGCTGGAAAAGAGCGCTGAATGGGACACACAGGAAGCAGCACAAAGATGGAGTAAAGGGGGGTAAAACAGAGCTGGGGAAGAAGAGGATGCATGACAGATAAGGGAAGGGGGAAAAGGGAAGAAGTTTATACATCCCCATGCTCCAGTCTGGCTTTGAGGAGTGTGTCAGCTGCTTAATGCAGAAAAGAACTGCTTTCAACCAGAACCCAACTCCCCTCAAACCAGTCCTGAGCAGCAAACTCGAGTTCCTCAGGTTTCCTGGCTCAAAAGTTCAGGTAAGCACCTTGCAACTCCCCTGCAGCCTGCCAGGCCCTAGACTAAGCCACTGAAATAAACTGACCATACATGTGGTGCAGACAGAAACGCTTCTTACATGAAATAAGACAAGGAAATCATATCAAACTCACTACTCAACTGGCAAGAATTTCCAGCTTTGTTTTATTTTTACTGTGAGCTTTTACTCATGTGCTTTAAATGTTGTGGTTCAGATATAGAAACAGATTCAGAAGGATGAGTGTGATGTGAGCTGGTACAAGGAGATGGCAGGGAGGATCTGTGAGATGTGTCACAGAACAATGGGTCAGTATTCAATAGCAGTTCAGGCAGAACTAAAGTCTTGGACTATCAACACAACCACTCTTTGTTTGTGTGTGCTTCTTGTCAGTGGTTCCTCAACCCCCTCCCATGCTACAGGTTCACTTCTCCTCCTGCAAAACTTAACAAGAGGAGGTTCGAAGCCAGAAGGTTTTACAACACAGCTTTCTTGGCTTTACAGATGAGCTGTTTGATACTAAGCAAGATAGTTCTGTCCTTCCTCTGGAAGCTACACAGGGCTTGACAGGAATAAAAAAGGAACAATCTAAGGCTGCAGCTTTCAAAGGGCCCCAGAGGAGTCGAGAACCCAAATGGTATAGTGGCATTTAAAGACATGCACTTAAAGGCTTTGAAACCCTTCAGACAAACCACTCTTACTACCCACAGAAGACAAGACGTGAGGAGCAGACCTGCTGCGAGGCAAGCGGCCACTTTCAGAGCAGCAAGTCAGGCTAGTAACTCCTGGCAGTCAGTGAATTATGCTGTTTTGTGTCACATCTAACAGCCTGGCTGGGCTGACTGAAGACAGACTTAGCCAGCCCGTAAGGACCCCGGACTGCTGCTACCCAAGTGGAACAGGACTAAAGAGTACAAGGGCCTGAAACACAGAGACAAGCTCACCTGATGGGTTCTGCTTACACCTCTTTTCTTTAGGTTTTTCTGTCCCCGAATGAACAGCTGTAATTGTGGTGAATGCTTGGATTAGTACAGGATTGTTCCCCAAAACACAATACGCAATATTTTAGTAACAAACAATTTTTTTCCCATTCACTGTCACTCGCTTTGCTATTGCACATGGGTTTTCCAACACCACTTCATTCCTTTTCAACATGGTTCCAGAAAGTCCCTTATTTGCTTCAGAGGCAGACATAAACCCCCACGACAGATGCCATGTAACCTGCTCCAGGGAGAAATCCCTTCCCTTACCTGTCCATTCCAGCTAGCAACGCTGCAACACCACACGTTTTGGTACTCTCAAACGGGGAATGGAGGGAGGCCAGCCTTTTCTGCTGGCATGTTATTTATCTCTGCATCAAGATGCTGAAATTACATTTAATCTGGTCTGTCTGTTATGCTCCAATTAGGGAGCATAAGAGAATGGCAGTGTCCCACTTGAGGCAGGGGGATACACTGGCAGGATAAAAATCCTGTCAAGAAAACTCTATAAAAAAACCTGAATAAAATTGTCTAGGCCAGGGGTTATGTTTAGTTACTACCACTTGGAGTTAAAACTCAAAGGAAACTCCAGAAGTGGGGTAAATTTGAATTCCTTGTAGCACATGTATTCTGGCTCCACATCTACACATCTGGTATGCTGTGACCTCCATGTAGCAAACTCACAAACAGCTGGACGCCGGTTACAGTGATGTGCAAATAAACTGCCACATTTAGCATCACTATAATATGCAAACTGCTGTTCTACTCACAGTGCTCAAACTCCTCTTGCTTGTTGCAAATGGCTTTGCTTCACAAGGACTTCACTGATGCACAGACAAAGAACGAGTACTGTTTTATCTCCATCCATTTTCCCCTTTCTCTACATCTTTGCTCCCCGCTGAAAAATTCTGTGCTAAAGTACCTTGGGAGCAGGATCCCCACATCGTTGTTTTTTACAGGCTCTGGAGTGCCAGGAACCTGGGGAGGATTGAGAAGAGGGCACTTCCCCAGGAAAGCTAGCTGACTGCAAGCTTAAAGGAGGTACCCCAAATACAGGAACAATCACCAATCATGGCTGAATCCTGCTCTGGAGAGAGACGTGGTAAAGCAACAGCAGGAGGGAGTGAACACACTTACCGCTGGAGTTCTGAGAATTGCTGTTTGTTTCTTCAAAGTTGTTTTGCGCTTTGCCTTCCACTC